ACATGTATTATTAATAAACTCAGTAGGGCAAAACAGAATGGAAAAACAGTCTAAAAGAGGTTTAAAATATTGTTTTTTCAAATTGAATCTCCAAAAATGTTTTAAGGGAAGACTTAGGGCACTCAGCACCCATGAATGTATCAGTGTTTTCAAGTAGACCTTCCTTAGGGGCTTGGTGTGAAATATGACCTATGACCTCTGGCCCTCCACTTACTGCAGAGGATGCACTCTTAGGACTATGGCCCCCAGGTCAGTCTTCACAAATCTTTAAACACAGACAAGTTTGGTTGCTTAAGAATAAAGGAGTAAACATGTGAGTTGATGTTGTTAATGGTTCTGGGTATGGTTTCTCTGTGATGCTGAATTGTGTGATATTTATTAGTCAACTTGGGTATAAAAGCTTTTCTCTAGTGAGAAATATAATTGTGAACACCTGGCACTTTCCTATTAGCTAAATTAATGAACATCTCAAAAATTGTACCTAAGGGAATATTATCTCAAACCTTTTTCATAAATATTAGGAGTCTTCAAACACTTTCTCAACTCCAGTGCAGTGTGCCTGATTCTTGATGCACTTCATTCGCTGAGCGTGGTTCTTCATACAGTTTCCATCAGTCAAATTGTTTAACATGATTGAGACCTTATATTTAAATTAAGGGATCTTCAGGTTAACCTTCCCATGGGACCATCCACAGCTAGTTTATCTTGTTAATTGTGTTATTAAACATTAATCTTCTTTTGGGAGAGAGGGTACATATCCAGTGGTGCGCAGGGCTTACTCCTGGCTTTGTGTTCAGGACTTACTCCTGGCTCTGTGCTCAGGGAACCATATTGGGTGCTGGGTATTTGAACTCAGGTTGGCCATGTGCAAGGTAAACACCTTACTTGCTGTACTATCACTTTGTCCCCAAATGTTTTTCTTTTAAAATTAGTTATTTCCCTTTCTCTTCTCTTTAAAATGTTTTTGATTGTTGTTGCAGTGGTGGGGGTTGTGGTGTACATACGTATTTGGTTATAGTGCTGTGATCGCACTGCCAAGATTTTTGAATTGACTTCAGTATGTGAGGATGTTGAGATTTAACTCATAGCCTCATGTGTATAAGGCAGGAACACTACTGCTGAGCTATCCTGGTTCTCTAAATGATCATCTTTCTTTACTTTTTTTTTTTTTTTAATTTTGAGGCCATAACCGGTGCTACTCAGAGCTTATTTTTGGCTCTGCGCTCAAGAATCTCTCCTGGAGGTACTTGTGGGACCAAATGGAATGCTGTGGATTGAACCCTGGTTGACTGCTTGCAATGCAAGGGCCCTACCCATTGTTCTGTCTCTCCAACCCCGCCCAGTGTTCATCTTTAAGAGACTGTTTTGCCTCAGGGCCAGAGAGGAGATAGTATAGGAATTAAGGTGCTTGCCCCTGAGCGTAACCAAAACCCCTTTCCACCCCCACCACGTTTGACATGCCATCTACATACATTATTTATTTTCACTATATACCCATTTCTTTATGTTACTCGCCAGAAAGTTACTCATTTAAAATTTTTTTAAAAGTAAAGCAAGAAAGTTTTATTAGAAGTTTCTTTCCATTTGTCTTCTCATGTTTTATTTAATTTTTTTTTCGATTTTTATTTAGGCCCTGAGATTTACCAGTACTCACCTCCACCAATATCTCAGGGACCCCTGCCTTTCATTCACCCTCTAGGCAGATTCCGTTCTATACTCTGATTCTCAGGGTCTGTTACCACGGGCCATTTTTTATTCCCTTACTGTGTATCCTTTGATTTCAGTCTGCATTTGTCTTTCTCCCTCTCACTGACTCCACTCATCACGATATCATCTAGTTCCATCCAGGTTGCATCAGATTTCATGATTTCATCTTTTTCTTATAGCAGAGGAGTATTTCATTGTGTCCATAAGCCAGTTTCCTTAGCCTCTCATCTGTTCTTTTGTTCTTGATCGGTGTCCAGAACATTCTGAATAATACTGCAGTAAACCGAAAAGTGCAAATATCTTTTTTTTGGGTGGGTGGGCAGCACATCTGGTGGTGCTCAGGGAACATTCCTGACTGTGCTCAGGAGTGACATGTGGCAGTGGTACTGGGTATCCAAATCAGGGTTACCATTCTCTCTCCAACCCCAAATGTCTTTTGGAAATAGTGTTTTTGGGTCCTTAGGGTGGATACCAAGAAGTGAAATTGCTGGAACATACAGAAGTTCAGATCTTAGTGTTTTAAGACATTTCTTTATCCAGAGTCTATACCAGAGAACATTTCCATCAACAGTGGATACGGCTTGCTTTATCCCCACATCCCAACTGGCGCTAGTTGTCTCTACTCTTCTTGATGTATTTTCTAGTTTTTAAAGGGAGGATTTCTGATGTGATTGAAAAAGTAATTAGTATATTACAAAATCTTTCTTTGGTATATTTTAATTGATAAAGGAATATTATTAATATTCAAATTAGAATACTTAAGATTTGGGGCTGGAGAGATAGTTCAGCAGGTAGGATGCTGGCCTTACATGTGGCCGACCTGGGTTCATTCCCAGGCATCCAATATGATCCCTCACGAAGAGTGATCCCTGAGTGCAGGGCCAGGGGAAGCCCCGAGCACCATTGGGTGGGACCTCCAAACAAACAATCAGAAGAATATTTAAGATCTCTTTCCTCATACAACCCCCCATCCACCCACCCAATAGGTTACAAACCGTCTGAAATAAAACCTTTAACACAGAAAAATGAAGTCATGTCAAATGTAAGAAATAAGGCTCCTCTGAGCGGTAAGAAGTGAGTTTGGAGAACTAGAAACTGTGAGCAGGGCTATCACATGTGAGGCTTATGTTCTCCTCTTGGCATTTGCCCAATTGTGATGAGAAGGATAGGCTTCTCCTGAGAGGCAGAAATGGCAGAAGGCTTTCGAGAAAGTGGTTTGGGACTACTGAGAAGACAATTTAATTTGTGGTGAACAGAAAGTGGGCAGAGGAAAGTAAGTGACTTTTATTAGCCCCTCTCCCTTGCTGTTAGTAAGAGCCGGCAAACCAACACTGCTCAGTTCTTGACAATATTCCTTTTACTTCCTGGCCCTGCCTGTTCTGTAACTTAAGCCCAGGATGGTGAGGAAATGGGTGACCTGCACATATATACATTCTGGGCCCTGTCTGTGGAAAGAAGGTGTTTGCTATCTTCTGCTTTCCCGATAGTTAGAAAATGGGCCCTGATGGAAATCTGTGGTGGGGATGTTGATTGATGCTCTGCCTGGTCTTCAACATGCACTCAGAGTTTCTCATAACTGCTCTCTAGTTGAAGCCGGTGTATTTTAGGATCCTCCGTTTTTCTCAGTTTTCTCAGTTCTTGACTAAACAACATAATGAACCCTTCTAATTGCTAGAGAAAAAAAATTACTTATTTATCGGTTTTGGTTTTTTGTTTTTTTGAGGGGGGCCAAACCTTACTCCTGGCTCTGTGCTCAGGGGCCACAAAGGTATTGAGCCCAGGTCGTCTGTGAGCAAGATTAGCACACTCTGCTTTTTGACACAGTAAATCTACTCTTGGGAATCTATTTGTGAAAAAAAAAAAAGCCCCCAATATCCAAGTACATATGATAAGGATATTTACTGGAGCCTTATTTGCAGTGGAGAAAACTGGAATTAAAGTGAATTTCCATCAGTAGGGGGAGTGGTTGGATAGCACATGCAATATTTTTCTCCTTTATGAAAATTAGCTCAAGTCCCAGCTTACTTGGAAAGATTGGCCAGAGGCATTGTTCACTGAGACAGACTAGATGGAGGAAATGATCTAATTCTTTTGGGGGCAAATTCGTAAACTCCCTGTATGTATGTTTGTATCACTGCATGATTGTAAAGAAGAGTATACTAGGTTTTAGTGCGGGGGAGGCTGTTGATGAAGATGGAAAGTGCCAAGCAAAAGAAGAGGGGAGAAAAACTGTTGGAGGAAGTTTCCTGTGAGTCTAGTATATATGAGTGATGTGGTTACAGCTATGCTAATATAAAACTTTGTTTTTGACTCAGGAGAGATGGTACAGTGGGTAGGGTTCTTATCCTTGCATGCTTGATCCCTGGTATCCCATATGGTTCCTCGAGCACTGCCAGGAGTACTTCCTGAGTGCAGAGCCAGAAGTAACCCCTGAACGTCACTGGGTGTGCCCCCCCAAAAAAACAATAAAACCCCCAAAACTTTGTTTTTGTGTTGTTATGTGTATGTGTAAAGAATGTTAAATAAATACTGTGCCTTTAAACTATGTTATGGGAACTGAAATGGACTGTTGCCAGGGTCTCATTATTACTTTGTATAGAACTTTAAAGTGAATAATAAAATTTAAAGAGCATGGTATTTAGGTATATCATATTTTTTCTAGTAAAAATCTATTTGGTTACTTTTTTTTTCCCCGAGTGTGAACCTCACGGTGCTTAGGGACTATTAAATATGTGTTGAAAGGTCTGACTATATGCAAAGCATGGCTCCAGCCACTTGACCCATTTTCCAGTCCACGGTGTATTATCTTAATTTTATAGTTGACAACTCAGATATGTAGATGACTAGAATATAGAAAAGTATAGCAACAAAGATAAGAAAGTTGGGGAAGTTATCTAGAAATGAGGACTAGGTAGTTAGACATTTTCTCTTTATCCCTTATAGGGCTTGAGCAAATGTATAACCCTTAATAAAATTATGGGGCCTAGTGAAATAATTGTTTCTATATCCAGAGTTTAGTAATTTTTAAGTACCTCTAATCAGAGTTCTAATTTTGACAAATCTTTCACACTGAGAGTTTTAGAAACATTTAATTTGTTGTTGTTTTGGCTCTGTACCCAGCTATACTCAGGGTTCCTTCCTGCTTTTGTGCTCAGGGAATCACTCGTGGGGGTATTTGGGGAAACATGCAGTGCTGGGAACTGAATCAGGTCAGCTGCTGCCAGACAAGCACCTGTCCTCTGTGTTATCTTTCCATTCCCAAACATCTAATTTTTAAATGCTTTTTATTCAAGTGTCTTTTTCTGAAGATGAGAAATACCAGCTGCGAAAATTTGTCAATAAATCTTACCTGCTGGATAAGAAAGCCATTTGTCAGGTGTACTATGGATTGCTTGACATCCTTCTGGCATATTGCTACGAAACCCAAGTCACTGAGGGAGAGAAGACGGTGAGTGTGCGCACGTGTGCATGTATGCGTGTGTGTATGTATATGTGTGTGTGAGTACATGTGCCTGCTGTTAGCATAGATTCCTGTACTGAAAAAATAAACTGTTCAGGCATGAACTGTATTGTTGAGTAAGATCTTTTGAGATTAGCGTTTTTGCCCAGGACCACATAATGTTGGTAATAGCTAACAGCATGAAAGCATAATGCTTGCTTGGTTTTTTAAAAAAAATTCTCTTTGGCAGTGTTCTTTTCCATATATCAAACCAGGGAGGAAAAACTCCAGGTAGAAAAAAAAAAAAGATCCTCCCGAGCTTTCATCTTTTAGAAGATAACTTTGCCATGGAAAAGGTCTTTTACCCTCTGCGCAATCTTTCTCTAAGATGTCAGATAGTAGGTGTAAGGTACGATATTCTACAAGAAAAGAAATCTTAGCATGTAAGATTTATCTCAGTATGTCTACTTTTGAAAAACTAAATCAGAACTTTAAAAAACTGAATCATACTTCCTTTTTTTTTTTGCTAAAATAGTCCTTTTGTAAAAGTAAATTCTTGTGTAAAATATTATTTCTTAAGTAATATTTTTTAATCATGTAGATCTTGTCATAGGTCTTAAACCACATTTGATTTTGTAAGTAAGATCTGTTTTCTCACCTGGATCACTACTCATTTATTTAGGGAAAAAAAGCTGGAAAACAAAAATGTCTTTCCTTTTAATGTGCTCCTGCAGCTGTTCATAATTGTCCCTTCTCAGAAGGTTCTTTTTGAGCTGAACATGTGATCTCATATTTTAAAAACCACAAGTAATTTATATCATTTGTATAGGAAAAATATATACATGAATAATTAAACTTTTCTGTAATCTCAGCTACTACAAATAGCCACTGCTATAAAGTGGTACATTTCTTCCAATCTTTCATTGTGCCCATGCTTGTCTACAAACATGTGTGACTTTTGTTTATTTTTGGGGCCAAATCTGGTGTTTCTCAGGGGTTACTCCTGGCTCTGTACTCAGGGGTCACTCCTGGTGGGGCTCTAGCGACCATATGTGGTGCTGGGGATTGATCCTGGGTTGACTCCATGCAAGGAAAGCACCTTACCTGCTATACTATCTTTCTAGCCTCTACTATGTCTTTTTATTGGCTCACACTACATAGACTTAACTTAATCTGCTTTCCCCACTGAGCATCATAGCATTAAGCATAAGATTAAGATTAAAATTTTATGTGTGCCCATTTTTCGTCACTTCTGGAAATTTCAATGGTATCTCTTAAATATGCATTTACTCCAAAATGAATATTAATGGGTATATCCAGGCCACAAAATAAATGAAAAATTTTTTGTTTCTACTGATTTTTTCAAGGATGTCATAATTGAAGAAAGTGTTTGTTACAAAATGTGCTTCATATTATTGAGAAAATGATATGTATTTAATTTTATTTGATAAGGCTTATCTTTTTTGATTCTTATACACTTGAAATCATGAAATTTGACAACTTCAAGACATTCTCTAGAATGTACTTAAAAATTTTTTTTTTAATTTTTTTTTTTTTTTTTTTTGCTTTTTGGGTCACACCCGGCGATGCTCAGGGATTACTCCTGGCTCATGCACTCAGGAATTACTCCTGGTGGTGCTCAGGGGACCATATGGGATGCTGGGAATTAAACCTGGGTCGACCATGTTGGCTGCGTGCAAGGCAAACGCCCTACCCGCTGTGTTATCGCTCCAGCCCCAAACCACCACACTTGGCTGTGCTCAGGGTTTACTTCTGACTCTGTGATCAGAGATCATTCCTGGTAGGACTTAGGGGATCATATGGAGTAGTCAGGATTGAACTTGGGTCTGCTGATGCAAGACAAGTGCGTTACTTGCTGTACTGTGTCTCTAGCCCTATAGAATGCATTTATTCTTACCAACATTCTCAAAGACCAGATTTTTGAGCAACTTTTTATGTGTCACATCCAGCACTTGAGCATTATCTTTGTGTTCTTTGGTGATTTATTTATAGAATGTTTGGGAGGCATTGCAGACAGAAATTGAGCAAGCATCACTTTGCTTGGATCTTTAATTTCAAAGCCCCTGCTTATTTGCTCTGTTCTGGTACTCTTATCTGTGAAAAAAGTCTACTTTATAAAACTAAGAAAAGTAGACAGAAACTTGACTTTGATAACCTCTGCGTTAGCAGAGCAGTGCCTCTCCCCACAGTTCTAGACCTTTCAAGTTCTTATTTTTGTCAGTACTACTCAGAAACTAATTTTAATACATAGATATATTTGCTTTAGTTGAAAATAACTTTATTTAAAGTTATTTAGTTGTAAATAACTTAAGGTTATTTAGCTGTAAATTCACAGCAGAGCGTGGCAAGCTACTCGTGGCATATTTGATATGCCAAAAACAGTAACAATAATGAGCCTCATTCCCCTGACCCCGAAAGAGCCTCCAATACGGCAGCATTGGGAAAGGAGAGACTGCTAAAATCTCCGGGCTAGGACGAATGTAGACGTTATCGGCACCCGCTCGAGTAAATTGATGAACAACGGGATGACAGTGATGACAGTGATAGTTGTAACTAATGTGAACATATTCTTTTCTCCAAAACACATGCAGGTTGAGTCTGCGTGGAATATCAGAAAACTGAGTGCAACACTGTGCTGGTTTGAGGTATGATCTCTAGTTTCAGTTGTTTAGTTGTTTGTTGTTTAGAAAGTTATTTTTTGTGTGTTATTACTGGTTCATTCTGGGTGAAGAAATTTCTTGACATTTTATTTGAGTTTTTTTGTTTTGGGGGCCACAACCCAGCGATGCTTCTGGCTCTGTACTTGGGGGTCACTCTCAGCAGTGTTGGGGACCATGAGATGCTGAGGATTGAACTTAAGCCTCCCACATATGAAGCTTAGCCCTCAGTCTTTTGAGCTTTCTCTGGCAGTGGAAATTTTATTGTAGATCTTTCAAATAGGACTGATTTTTGTTGATTACTCTTTCTCTCTAATATATAATATCAGATTGAGCTGGATAGGAGGTTTTGGGACTTCAGAGATGGAGAACATATTTTGGACACAATGTTTTGGGGGAGAATGCGGGGTAGTATTCAAAATATGTTTGTAAGTTGGCATGCATCGGGGTTCATAACAACGATGGAAAACCTCACTGCCGCTTTAGCACCAGTGCTAACTTATTACAGATGAGGCAGCTTAGCTCATAGCTTATAGAACTTCCTGGTTCCCACAATTAGTGTGATTATATCTGCTGGATTACATGGGAGATTGTTAATTCTATTCTGTAGCACAGCTGGTAGGGCGTTTGCCTTGCACGTGGCTGACCCGGGTTCGATTCCTCCGTCCCTCTCAGAAAGCCCGGCAAGCTACCTCTTGTACTGCAGAGCCTGGCAAGCTCCTCATGGCATATTTGATATGACAAAAACAGTAACAACAAGTCTCACAATGGAGACGTTATTGGTGTCTCCTTGAGCAAATCGATGAACAATGGGAAGACAGTGCTACAGTGCTATATCTGCTGTTTTAATATAATCATAATTTAAAAAGTCTTTTCTAGAAAATAGTTGTTTTAGCCTTATCAAAAATATATATTAAAAAAAGGTATCTTATCTTTTTTGTTTATTTGTTTTTGTGTTACACCTGGTGGAACACTCAGGAATCACTCCTGGTGGTGCTTGGGGGACCATATGGGGTACCAGGGATCTAATGTGGGTCGACCGTGTGTAAGGCAAATGCCCTACCTGCTCTGCTATCTCTCTGACTCCAACAGTTTATCATTTTGGAACAACCTATTATTCTATAATAAGATAAGAATTAGAAATTACTTTAAAATCTTGACTTAAACAGTTAATACTTGAGTTAAAAGTTAAAGAAACTAATTCTCCTTTTACTCTCCACCCCCAGTTTAATTCCTAGATAAGAGTACATTTTATGCTGTTCATGGCATCACTTTGTTCTAAGTATTTAAGAGGTAACCAGGAACTCAAATAGTTACTTGACCTGAAAAATCTGTCTTCTCCAAGAATGGTTCATGGACCAACAGCTTGGCGAGGGCTCTTAGTTGGGAGTCAGAAGAAAGACATTCAGTTATGACCCACTGAATCCACACTCCAGGAAGTCATATGCATACTGGACTTGGAGAAGTATAACTCTTTAGACTTAATTTGGATTTTCAGAACTAATGGTAATAATTTATATGATTCAAAACAAATACCTCCCCATGAGGAAATCAGTAGTTTTCTCTTTGGTAAGTAAGAGCAAATAATTCAAGTAAGGACTGTGGATCGCTAATGCCCAAAGCCAAAAATAATGAAAAGGAAAAGAAAAAAATCTGATGAACATATTTCACTAAAGAGTTCTACAACTTTCATCTAGACTATCTTGAACAGTCCTAAAAACTAAATCTTGAAATAGATATCTTTTAGAAATGCCTTTCATGTGCATCTGTATTTTGTTAGTCATGTGTTTTAGATCCATATTTGTAAATCTTAAAAGACTTTAAAAAAAACTTCCCTGCCGCATCTGTAATTTTAAAGAGCATTTTGTGACATGTTGATACAGCATGAGAAATTATAAATTATAGTTACATATTTTTTTTTAAAAAAAAGTCTCATTTGGGGGCTGGGGATATGCCTGAAGTGGTAGAGCTTTCATTTACATGGGTGAGGGCCCTGGGTTTGATCCCTGGTATGTAATGCCCCTACTGTCTAGCATTGCCCAGAGTGTCTTTGGTAATCCCAGACAACACTTGGGAGTGACTCTGGTCTCCTAGTACTGCTGGGTTTGATCCCCACAGGTAACAACAAAAAAATAGTCGTATTTCATGGTTTTATTTTTACGCTCTACGTGGCTTCATGAAAAAAAGTATCTTCTCTCATTTTTTCATTGAAAATATTTTCACATTTTGTTGTTGTTGGCTTCTGTTTGTGAAAATATGGTGATGGTTACTTACCTACATGATACTTCACAGACTTGGGCTAATGTTCAGGAGATCCTGGTGTCCTTCGGAAGAAGAGTTTTGTGCTACCCTCTTTATCGTCATTTCAAACTGGTGTTGAAGGCCTCTGAAGACACTGTAAAGATACTACAACTGGGTAAGAAATCTGCACATTTGGGAGTGAAAAGTTAGAAAAAAGTTCTGTCCGTGAAGAGCTAATCATGCTATCTGCTTTTTCTCTGTACTCAAGTAATGAAAATCATTCAGTCCAATTACTTTCCTTCACAGACAAGTAAGTAATGAGTCACTCACTGTTAATGTGTGATCACAGAGAGGTGTTGAAGTCTTTTGAGTAGGACAGGAGTGTAAATAGAGAAGGTACATACACTGCTCCAAACCATTTTGTATTAGAGTAAATCATGTCATTCATTGTTTCTTGGATGCCTATAATTTTCTAAGCAGTATGGGTGTAATAAGAGTCAGTTAAATTCTTTCCTCCTATGAAGTTTACAGTTTGGCCAGAGACAGGATGAGAAGTAAATTACATTGTAGTGCAAAAGCTCCCTGTTGGGAGTATACTGATCATTAGGAAGGAGTATGACCCTGAACTTCGAAGGTCGGTCAAGTTGTCCAAAGAAAAGCTTAGCTACTCTGAGAGCTATAGACTATTGCTAAATACAGCCTGAAAAACAAATACTTGTTATCCTTAAGGGTGTGGAAAATTCTGAGCCCTGAAGCAAATTCCAAAGGGCTCATAATAGCATCATTGGAATGAGTACGTCATTTCCAGGATAATGACTTTGAAGGAGGCAACATCTGTTTGTCTGCATTAAGTTCTGGCACATTTACTTAAAAGTCACTTTCAATATCTCATGGAAATGTCTTATAGTTTCCCCTGGGAGTTTCACCAGAATTTATAGATGAAAGTTCTTCTGGGGGTTTAGTTTTCAGACTTCAGAAAGGAAGTAGGTGAAAGAGGAAGTCATCTTTATGGTCCCAGTGACATCATTTGCTTGGAGGGAAGAATCACATCTCTAAAGTTTTGTTTCTCCCAGACTTTTTTTGTTTGTTTTGGTTTGGTTTTGGTTTTTGTCCCACACCTGGCAGTGCTCAGAGTTTACTCCTGGCTCAGTGCTCAGGGATCACTCATGGCAGTGCTTGGGGGAAACCAAGTGTCCTACCCACTGTACTCTCTTTGTCTCTCTCTGGCCCTCCTAGGCTTTGCTTTGATTCCTGCGTAATCTGTACCTTCTTTAACTGGAGGGGTTGGGCAGGTAGGAGAATCGTGTTTGAAGTAGATTATTTTAAAGTAGATGATAGCACTGTAGCACTGTCCTCCCGTTGTTCATCGATTTGCTTGAGTGGGCACCAGTAACGTCTCCATTGTGAGACTTGTTACTGTGTTTGGCATATTGAATATGCCACAGGGAGCTTGCCAGGCTCTGATGTGCGGGTGGGATACTCTGCTTGCTGGGGTCCCTGAGAGGGACTGAAGAATTGAACCTGGGTTGGCCAGGAGCAAGGCAGTGATAATTATAAAAATGAATCATAGGTGAATGAAAAATGTCTCCTTATTTAGTTACTTTAAACCAGCTCTAGTTCAGTTTGCAGAATTGTTGGTTATTCCCTTTGAGAAACTTATGAACTTCAACTTAACAGTGGGAAATGAGCTGTAGCTTTCATTCCTGCTATCTATGTTGTTTGCAAAAGTTACCTGAAAAAATTAATCTTACAGTGAAAGACTTGGTTGAACTTAAGTTTTATGTTGCAATTTCTTATTTAAGTTTTGCAAGATTATCAGTGCACTATTCATTATAAGAATGTATTTTGTGATTATTCTGTTAAATCATGGCTTCCAGATGGGAAACTTGTATGACGTGCATGTACTGTGTGCATGTCTGTGTGCGCGTGCGCGCACACACACACATACACACACACACACACACACGGGTTGGTTTTATTTTTTTCCAAGTAATCAGTTCTGTGATTGCATAACCCAAAATAAATTTGATTGCTTTGATTTATACTGTAATCAATTACTGAAACATTAGGAGGACAGAATTAAAATTTTGACTTAACGTTTCATTGTATCACACTGACAGAAGTGGTCCTACTAGTTGTGTTATGGTAACAGCAGAGAACTTGAAGTGAGGGCCTATTTGCTGAAAGTGAGTCTGAACCTTGTTATGACCATGTACAGCATGTTCTGTGGCCGTAGCTTGCTAGTGCTAGGATGAGATTGGTTTGTTTAGAACTCGTGCCATAAGCTGTGGGGGTCAGTACACTCTAGAGGAGAATTACACCCTGGGATTGTATGCCAGTTGTTTTGTTTTGTTTTGTTTTGGGTCACACCTGGCCATGTTCAGGGATTACTCTTGACTCTGCACTCAGGAATCACTCCTGGAGGACTCAGTGGACCATATGGGATGCTGGGAATCGAATCCAGGTCAGCTGTGTGCAAAGCCTTACCCACTTTCTGGGTGTACTATCATTCTGACCCGCAATCACTTTTCATTACAAAGATCAGTTTATTTGCTACAGTAATTTAAAGTAGTAGATAATTATTTTTCTATGAGAAATACTGATCTTAAATGGAATGAATTTCTAAACTGAAGTAAGACAACATAGGACGTCAGTATCTACATGCTCCTGAATTTAACTGATTGACTCACACCTCAGTGTTTGAATCATAAACTGGCTTCACTCTACTTCACTGTAGCCTTTTAAAAGGTTTCTTGACTAGATAGATCTTTGGCTGTATTCAGTTGTGTAGTCTTCTCTGCCTTTATACTACTGTACATTTAACTCTTATCGCTGTTTCAAGTTGAATCCAAATTCTTTTAAGGGAAGAAAAGTTACTTTATACCTTTAAGTTCCATTTCAGAGCTTAACAGGGTAGGGGGTGGGGGAGCCTGCCTGTGGAGTTGGCTCTCTTGAGATCAGCAGTTTTGGATCATGTGATTGTCCCCCTTTTCATCCCTTTCTGACAACTTAGACTTCCTCTTCATTTCATTCTTTTGGGAAGAATAGGTACAATCCTTCATGGAACTGTCACTTAGCTGCCATTTCTCATTGAAAATAAGTGGAAAAGCACAAGGGTCAAAAGATAGCAGCTTTTCTGTTTCCAGAAATTTTATTCTGTATTGAAATGACAGATTTGATTAGACATTGTTTATCCAGCTTGCTATTTGAGTTAATTCCTATATTTCATTAATCTTTATAGAAGCATTCCTCACTTGTCAATACTCCTGTGCAGCTATAAAACACATAATGTAGCCACTGTATTGAAAGGGCTAAACATCTCCCAGTTTTCTTTTTGAGCTCATTCTATGGATTCTTTCTTTTATTTTCTCTGGATGGGAATAGATCTCCTATAAAAATCCACATGCCCTTTAATATGTAATAAATATTCTGTAACTTTTTCTATCACTTTAAATTCTAAGAGACATCTCATTTCAGTACTTAGAATGGCCCCTTTGAATTTGATTAAAAAAATAAATCTTCCCTTCGCCAGCTTGGGCCTGCCACAGCTGGGGAGGCCGGCATTGGGGAAGGGCCTGTCTGCCCTTGTGGGAATGACTGCTCACTTCCAGATCCAGGCAGCCCTGGCTGCTCCTCCGACCTCACTGCTCAGTGAGGTGTGATGGGATGGGGGTGGGCTCACAGACAAGGGCCAAAACCATCTCTAGAACCCACAGTTTTCAAAGTAGATGGGTTACACTCTCAGGACCCCCACCCCAATACACACACACACACACACACACACACACGAGGATGGTAGAAATCCCACAACTTTTTTTTTTTTTAAATCTTGGGGCCACACCCAGTGATGCTCAGGTTTTTATTCCTGACTCTTCAGTCAGGAATCACTCCAGGCAGTACTCAGGGAACCATATGAGATGCCAGGGATTGGCTGTGTGCAAGACAAGCTCACAACCCGCTGTACTCTCACTCCGACCCATCCCACAACTTTTTCTGAAGAGCTTTTGTGGAGAATTTCAACCTCTGGAAGTGAATTAGGCCAAGGAGGGGTGGGGGGATTGTCATCGATCAGTTGTGGTTTTGTTTGTGTTTTACTTTTGGGGCCACGTTCAACAGTACTGAGGGCTTACTCTTGGCTCTGCTCAGGGATCACTTTTGGCAGAGCCCTGGGGACCATGTGGGGTTTACTGTAGCTAGAACCTGGGTTAGCCTTGTGCAGGGTAAGCACCCTACCCACTTGGTATCACTTCAGCCCTTCATCAGTCAGTTTTTAACCAGAGTTAAACATCTCGTTTTGAAATATGGGAATATTTAGTACCTGTTTTGTTCTCAGTGAGTCTCACTAGCGTGAGTGAGAAGAGCCATATCTTTCTGTGGTAGCACAGAAATAATAACCGCAGTGCTACCTATTATCTCCTTTCTGTGTGCCTGTGCTAGGTTCAGTTCTTTATTTTGTTTATTTTTAGACCACACTTGCTGGTTCGCAGGGGTTACTCTTGGCTTTGCACTCAGAAATTACTCCTTCAGAAATTACTTCTCAGGGGACCATGTGGGATGTGGGGAATTGAATACAGGTTGACTGTGTGCAGAGCAAGTGCCCTACCCATTGTACATCTCTCTGACCTCATCTTTTGTGTGTGTGTGTGTGTGTGTGTTTGGAGGGGGAAGAGTTCCCGCCCAACCTGGTGATGCTCAGGGAGCCAAGAGTGATCCTTGAGCACAGAGCCAGGAGTAAGTCTAGAGTACCATTTGATATGGTCCAACCGCATCCCCCCACCAAAAAAAAAAAAAAAAAAACTCAAAACAAACAAAAAACAAAAAAATAAAACTCTGTGTTGGGAGGCAGCGTTTGGTTTATAAATACTAACTTGGCTTTTAATTGCCACAAGTGATTAAGAACTTATGATTATTGCCATCCCAAATGTCATTTAAAATATATTAGGATGTTAGGGTTCTTTGGAAATTAAAGTTATATTGCATTGCTCTTGTTGGTGATGGATTAAATCAGTTGATGATCTCTTAAACATTTACATATTTGTACATATGTGCATATATATTAATGTAAATCTACTTTGTATTTCATGAATTGCTTATTTAAGATAAATTTTATAATATCTGCAGTTTCTGAGTTAAAGTGCAGAAACACAGGAGATTGGTTGCATGGCTTTTGTCTGT